ACTGTAATTCTGTATAAAAATAAAAAAAAAAATGAAAATGCATATTTATGAGCTTAAAATAACTATCTATCAACCCAATTTCCATTCTATTTTCATCGGAAGCGTTATCAATCCCTCAACGCATAAATAATCGCCAATTGTTTGCAAGGCGCGAAGATTCACGCGTCGTTGGTCTCGTCTTTTTATCGGAAAGGAAATTGAGGGGAGAATTTTCGCATAAATCAAAACGTTTGCCGCGGGCAGTTAGGAACGAATGCTGTCAGCCTCGTTTCCTCCCTGTCATATCGGCCAACCCCCGCTCGCTTCATAATTCGATCGACGATCTAATTCGAAGAAACGGAGGCCATCGTTTCGCCCCATAATCGAATCACTTCACGGTTCGCTGATCCCGTTCAAACTCGATGGTCTTTCCTCTTGAGTCGCGTCGAGAGAAAAGGGTATGACGTGTTTCATCAACACGTGAAAGGAATGGGTGATTCTTCAAATTTTATCTATTATCACGATTAAAAGTACTTAAAGATTGATCGAAAGATTATTCTTGTATACGTATATGATATTTATTGCTTATAATAAATTTAATAATTTGATAGCAATAGGATATATGGATAGAATAGAGATATGGATCTTAATATAATAATTGATCTTTTATGTGTTATTTTTTATGTCGATCATTATATAGGGATTATTGATTACATAAAAAGAATTCTGTAATCAATAATGAAAGAAAAGTATAAAAAAAATGTTAAAGTTGAAGAATGTTCTTTAAGTTTTTTGTGATATTCGCTTCTCTTCGATTTTTATCTTATCAGATCTCTCTTCAGAACTCTTCGAGCGGAAGAACGTTTGAAAATGATGAAGAGGTCATTGGAACAGTAAATGAACTTATTACAACAAGAGAACAATTCTCTGGAAATGGTGTAGATATAGAATTGAGATTATAAAATTTGTTGGAAAAATTATATAGAATAAAAAATAAATTAGCGGGTAAAGAGAGGATGAAATATTGAAAAATATTGAAAATTCGCTGGTAAGAGAATCAAAATTATTATGAAAATTATTATTAGGACGACGTGAAAAAAAAAACAGTCGAAGAATGTTCATTTTGCAATTACTTGATTGTTACCACGAACTGCAATTGCTAGCAATTTCCATATATTTCGTTGAAACGTGAATAACAGTCGGCTAATTATAGTAGCACGAGCAATTACTTTTACGCAATCCGACCGCGTTAATCGTCATTTTTAACTACTGTAATTCCCTAATGCGTTCGCTGAAAAATTGTCAAAATTTCATGAAAGAATAATTTCTATTCCATTTACACGATGAATATCATAATAATTTAATTACAATCGCGGTTTTAAATAAAATAACGTATGAAAAATAATTTTTAAACTTTTACGTTTTATTCGTTATTACTTTATTTACAACAAATTATTTATTTCTTCTAATTTTAATATAAAAATTAATTCAAATTCGTACACATTTATCCAAACGCTATTATTTGTAACAAAAATTCTTTTTATTAAATCCCAAAATAATCCCAAAAGAAAGAAAGAAAGAAAAAATTATCATTTACCAATATACCAATATATTTCTATTATGAATTCTTGACATGTTAAAAAAAAAATCCAATTTTCCATCGATTTTCATCGTTTAACCGCGCAATCATCATCGAAACACGGGCTAAGGGGGCGCGAAATTCAATCGAGAAGAAAACAAATGAAATAGGAGAGTCCCAATGAAAGGATGAATAATAGACGAGACGACGAAATCGAGTAGTTTTTCGAGCAGTGATATGGATCAGTGTTTGCGGATCGCTATTTCGAAGTTGAACGAGAGAGAATACAAATTTTGGAGGTGGATATACATGAATGATCGAACACGTTCGATTCGAAATTGAAACATCCGCGGGACTTATTCTAAAATCATCGTTGCGATGACGAAATAAATAATTATAATGATTTCGAACGTGGAATGGAAATAGAAAAAATATGATGTTTTTCTCGTTTAACTTCTCCTATTTCGATGAGTTCAACCAGCAATCAACCATCGTAATTTATTTCGATTGATCCAAGATGACTCTTGGACCAAAATTTTGATTAATTTTATATTAATAATTTGAAAAACTATTTTAAAATCACGTTAAATAATTCAATTTATATTTCGATATATTTGTTAAATAATTGTTACATATATAAACTATTTCTTATAACGAATATTAAAAATTTCTATATCTAACAAAATAGAAACAGTTCCACCAAAATTTCCTCCCTTTGCTATCTCCCTTATAATATAAAACTCGTAAGCAATAAAACGAATTTACAACGGATGTACAACGTTATATCCCCGACACAAACGACCCTAAATCCACGGAATAATATCCAACCCGGCGACGTAAAGCATTTAACAATCTACGATCTAAAAATTATCCCCAATAATATCCAACGCAACGACTCCGCAAAATAACCCCTCCGCTCTTTCCTGTAATATCATCCGACCTCTAACTCCGAATCATTACTCCGACTATCGTTTCGAGAAACTTAAATTAATACACCCTCCATAAACCCTCCACATCCCCTCTGCTGCTAAACATCAAACCCGCGCACAACAGCCCAATATAAACTTGGTGGTCGATCGCTCGACGTCCGACACGAGAATCAGACTGCAGAAACAGCATCAAAAACCTTTCCCTCTTCCTTCCTCTGAATCGTTGGCGGAGACATAACGCTTTGAAACGACACCGTCCAACTCACGGCTCGCCCCTATGACGGATCTTTATCGAGGAGAGGGAGAGGGGGTGGCC